GCACCATTTTCCTATCACTTCTTGAAATATAACAAAAATAAAAAACCCTAACAAATTCAAACTCAATACAATGGCAGATTGGAGATCTAAAACATTTTCAAGAAAGTCTAATGTATTGAGATTTTGCTGTATTTCTTTCAACTTGCTATGAGACTTTAAGTAAAACAGTGGTTTCAGAAATCAGAATAACATATCTCAAAATGCAGTTCTGATAGCAAGTCACATTGCAATAGTGGTTGTGGATAAAATTCCCACACAACCCACTGGGTTTCAAAGGAATAAAAAATGTTAGCCACCAAAACCTATATGCTCCAGTGAGAATTATAGCCTAATTTAAATGAGTCCAGTGAACCATTCTATAGAGAAAAGAGTCCGATTTCATCAAAGTGGACTCAGCCTGTGGCATGCTGTGGATGGTTGTGGCCCAAGTCACGGCCTGCTGGGACTGGAGGCTCCTGCCATCAGTGTCTGTCAGGGAGCAGAGATTTCTCTTTTTGTATTATCAACGAGTTCCAGGCTCCTGTGGAGGTCAGACCGCAGTGAAATGCTGACAGTGAGCTGCTGCCAGAGACCCAGGAGAGGCTCTCGCTCTGTATTTAAAGGGCCCAAGAGCTGCAGGAAGACAGTGTTCCTGCCTCTCCTAAGTGGCACGTATGAAGAGATATCTGATTTAGCAGCCCTGACAGCCCACAGGAAACTGGATACAGACAGAAACAGAATGTAAAAAAAAAAAAATAAAAATAAAGGAGAAGCTCTCATCCTTGAGTTTAAGGGAAGGAACTGGGAACTAAGAATTCTTAGCTTCTCTGATAATCAGGCATTTGCCTGTTGCATGTGTTGAAATACTCTCATTTAATTTACCAAAACACCATGTTTGCTTGTAGAATTTCAATCAAATATATCTAGTCATGTAGTAATTAGATAGCTGTGGGAAAAGGATAAATCTAATAAGAACTGGAGCAGTGATTAAAACAAAGCACGGAAAACTATAGACTGGAATCCTTCAACTTTGTTTCAAAATTTGTTTGGGATCACATATTAGTGACAAAAACTTAGACTTCATGAACTTTCTGTTCCTTAATTTCTGTGTCTGTAAAATGTGAGCATCTTATTCCCACATCTTATTAAAAATTATTAAAATTATTAAAAATCTTATTATTTCATTCAACTAAGATATTTATATTAATTGTGTAGTCAAGTGTCTAATATTTGGTGATATCTCAGAAAATGTTTAATAATATTTCCCATTGGTCATCAAAATCTACACTCATTCTAAATACCATCCAGCTTCCTGAACTGAAGTATGACAGTCATAATATCCATTGACATATCTTTCAATGCTTCTTTACCCTTCATATAATATGTTTCTTGTAATTTATAATAGAAAAATTTTAGTCATTTGTGTGTTTGTTGAAGTCCAACTTATTGGCCTCCATTAACTGAAGGATATTATTTAAGGAGTTTTAACCAATTTATTATTGGAAATAGAAAGGTTGGTAGGCAATTTTGTAACATAAAAAACAGTAAGTAGAGAGCAATAGAAACACAGAAAAAGTATATCAGAAAGAAAAATAGTGTTTTAAAAGAAATACAAAA